TTCCCTCTAACCATCGAAACCATAACAAATTATAATAATTTCATCACTTAAACTTTGGACCTTCCATCCTGACCGTAGCTGCTTTCTTACCCTGGTGGTCGGGCTTACTCTACCGAGCTATACTGGCTGAAACATAAGTTCCTATAAAATATACCATGCCAGGCAGGTCGATTGAAGAACGGTAAAACTAAAAGCAGTTACTCAAGTTCTGAGAGACAGAAGTCGTACTGCCGACTTTAGAGAGGTGTGACAGCTGTAACGTATTTACATCGGGCAACCAGCATGTGCAGCGATGCCGCCTTCTCACAACGGAAGGGGTTAGAAGAGGTCGATCCTAAAGATGTCATACCTCACCACACTTCACAGATTTCCGTCTCCGCGCTAAGGTCACTTGAAAGCGGAGCTAACACTTAACAAACTTCTCATTGTGTTGTTGTTGTTATTGTTGTCATTGTTGTTGTTTTTGTTGTAGTATTGATTGATGATTATATTCTAACATCATTAAATTCTGGTCAACAGTTTTTTTTCGTTATCGAATCCTGTTAACTGCTTCCCCCTCGTCAATTACGTGCTCCTGTGTGTCTGTGTGTTCATGTGCCTGAGTGTATTCTATTCATTAGAAAGTTAAGTATCATAGTATGAAATGGTTTTTAATTTGATTTTCTCTCACATCTTTGATGCGTACTATACTAGTAGGTTGTCTCTTAATCCTCGTAGCGATCATTCTCGTCAATGATTACATTATCCCTATGTGATTTCACTTATTTCTTTCAAAAATTCTACATGTATTATTTGTGCGTGTATATATATTTATTTATATGTTCATTGTAAATATATTTATCCTCGACAGAGGTGACTATAGCAATCATTTTGCATGTGTTATTTAATATGAACTGCTTTTTCATAAATTCATCTTTGCTTTTTTCTATTTTTTTAATGAAGAACCCTTTTTCTTGTTATCATTTTAATCTCGAAATCATGAATGGATCATTGTTAGACTGCCTGTACAGTGGTGGTGATGGTGGTGGTGTCTAGAGTATGTAGGTTATAGGCATCCACTCACTAGATGGAAGCTCCTGTGTTCGTTTCCTGCAAACAGGGGTTATTGATGGATGCGCGCACTACCATGGATGATGAGTTGCGATTATAGGATAACATAGCCAGCTGTCCAGGTTTCTTTCTAATTTACACGGTGATCTACCAATGTTACATTCATGATTTCAAATGAAATTCAACTATCTTTATCATTTTCCCGCCTTTTTAAAAAAATTATCAATCTATATATATATATGTGTATTTTTTTTTATTTATCCTATTGTAAAAAATCCAACGCGTACATTTTTTTTCTTCCGTGATTGAAAAAGTCACTAAACAAGCTTGGCTTGGTATTATTGAACATCGTAAAGCTGCTGAATATGAATTACGAAGATTGTTAACATTGAAGTACACAGACAATGAACATGGTAATCTATGTGAATACATATATAATAATTACTCCAGCCTTCACATAACTGGTCAATATATAAGTGTGTATATATGTATATCGATGTTCTTTTATGTGTACATCTGTTCTATCTGCCTGTCTATCTATTTGCCTTGTTTTAAATGTGTACGATCTGTCTGTCTGTGTGTGTGTGTAAATGGAGTGTACGCTATCCATCCTCTTTCTCCTACTTGGGTTAGTTGTTACTGTTGCGCCGCTAATCGCTTCTGCCTCTGCTGCTGCTACTGCTACTGTTACTTCTCTTCTCTTCTCAATATTGACAAAATGTAACAAGTTTTTTTATGTGTATAATTTATGTCTATTTGAACAAAGAATAATTTAAATATAATTTTTCTGTTTGTTTGTTTATTGGTTTTGCGTTATTCTTCGGGCCTTGTTTTTAACTGTCTTTTCTGTGTGTATGTGTGTGTGTGTGAAGAGTTTTCCTCTTGTCAATGTGTGTAGTTCAATGTATCAATATGTCTCTCTGTTTCTGTTTGTTTGTTTGTTTGTATGAGTAAATGTTTATTGTGTGTTGAGTTGGTTTTTTTTTTTAAAATTTCAAATAAAATCTTGGAACGGAATCATTAAGACTGGTTGGCTATGGTATTTACAAGTGATCAAAACCTACTTACCTACTTACTTACCATCTACCCACTATTAAATCAATAGAGTTATTAAGGATAAACAGCTGATGATTACTATTAATTGGACTGCATTCATCCAGATACAGAGTATGATACTACTTGTCTAACCATTATGACTACTCTTGTCAATTCCGATCATGATGTATTTATTGTTTTAGCCAGTAGACCATTTTTTTTCTTCTTCAAAAATTAGACATGTTGTTCTTTGATTGTTTTGGTAATGGTGGATGCCAGTTTTTTTTTTCTTTTTTCATTGGCGAAAAAAATAGTTTTCTTCGTCATTTATGCATATATATACATACATAAACAAAAACAGTAAGTAAGAAGAAATTTCACATTGTATTCATTTTAAACTATGATTACTGTTTTTTTTTTATTATTTATCTCTATTTCTCTATTTTTTTTGTACGCTTCCTTACAAGTGAATTATGCAAAATCCACTTTAATGAATGATGATGATGATAAATCAGAAGTGATTGATTCAAATCAACCAGAATCAGAAATTGATGAGAATTATGATTTAGGTAATAATCATGTGATTATTATTATTATTTTTTAATATTGTTTGTTACTGTTGTTGTCATTAATGAAGCAAAATATTGCTTCAAGACTGAGTCGCATCTGTACCTGATATAGAGTGTGATATAGAGTGAAGTAGTCGAGCGTGTTGACCGCGCTTCACTTATCTGGGGGAGTCTCGTCAGTGCTGGATGGCCTGGTGACTGACGAAATCTCAGCACAGATACAGAAAGCTCGATTGGCTTTTCCCAACCTGCCTAACTTATAGCGTAGGCGAGATATCCGTTTGCTGACCGAAGGACAAGTGTACTGTGCAGTAGTTCGCTCTGTCCTACTATATGGATGCGAAACATGACCAGCAATAGTTAAGGATATTCGTAGGTTACTTGTTTTCGATCATAGGTGCCCCCGAAGCATTGCTCGAGTATCATGGGACAACCGAGTATGCAATGCTGTTGTAAGGAAACGGGTGCTAGGTGGTAAGTAATGAAACTTTATCTGTTGAGGTGGTTGGGAGATGTGCTGCGTACGCCTAACCACTGACTGCCTTGATGCGCTTTGTTTTGTGGTGTAGGGGTACGCTGGAAGAAATTTGGGGACGGTCGGACCAAAACATGGCAGAAATCCATGAAGTCACGGACAAGTGAACTGATTCATATTGGTAGATGTAGGCTAGCTGTTTGAGGCCCGCGAGATGAAAGTCACCAACGGTTAGAGACCTTGAACGACATGGCTCTGAATCGTTTGCAATGGCGCAAGTGCATCCATTCGTTGTGCTCTCTCAAATCCTAATCCTCTGGATTCCTAAGCACCTCCTCCTTTGTCTTTCTAACCTTATCTCACTGAATCATACTTCTTGAATAATATCTTCGAACCCTAGTCTTCTTCATTACCATTAATACCTCTACTATCTTTATCACTATGGGATTTGATTTGACATTTGCGTCTCTGTGCTAACGTGGTATGGCAATCTGAACTGCTGTTCTACGTTGCTGTTGAAGATGATGATGTCATTAATGATGAATGTGATTGTTAGCGAATAAGTGGTTCATTAAAATCATGAATTGATCAATGTTAAACCAATCATTTTTAGATCTGGAAGCAGTGGATGTCTGTCTTAACTCTTAGTATTAAGACTCATCAGTAGTGGCTGGTGTGTATCGATGACTGTCACTTGAGGGAATCGAAGCTAGAGCCTTTGGTCCTGTGCTTGAACGCTTAATCTGTGGACCATTGAGCTGGTAGTCAGCGATGTTAATGTTTAACTTCGATGAATCTACGGTCTTGTGTGACCTTATCCGTTGACTTCAGTAGGCACTGCCTCACATCTCACTGCACTGGTCATGACTTTTCACTAGAAATCTGAGAATTTTTTCACGGAGAAAGTTGTGGAAATTGTTGAGTTTGATTGAAAGAAAGCTTCTAGACATTAACACCGTTGAATGCCTGCTCAGTGGTGGTGTATATGTTAAGTTTTCGTGCACTAGACTGAAGGTCCTGCGTTCGATTCTTGTGAATGAGGTTCGTGGATGTGCATTGTCGCTGATGTCTCTCATACTAGGACGAAACAGCTGTCCAGTGATTCCAAATTTCTGTCTAATGGTGGTCTTACACGGATCAATTCGTGATTTCAAATGAAACTCAACAATCTTTACAATCCTATGGAGAGAATTCGTTTATTATTTATCTGCTCATAAATGTCTGTTTTTTTGACTAATAATGCAAAGTAAATTAGTCAGTACGCTCAACACTTTACTCTGTATCACTATTTCAAGTGCCGGCTCAAGCCAATCCTGAAGCAACATTTCGCATTTGGAGTCGAAGAATCGCACCCTGAACATGCTTGCATTGTTGCTTAAGGTGTTCAGAAGACTCTGCAATTTATTAGCGTCTTCACCAAACACAACTATATCATCTGTACAATCTATTAATTAATTAATTCCCTGATAGTATTTAAACTCTTCGAAAGTAGGGCCCAGCCCTACTCATATATCTGGCCTTGTGACCTACAGTAATTCTAGAAGGGCTCCAGGTGGATGTTACGCTTAAATAAACCGTTGTATATATTACAAGTTATTTGTAGTTTAACATGTGGAACTGAAGCTCTATCCAACCTGTATTTTTGTTTGTTTGTAATGTGATTTTCAAGTCACTGAGTGTTTTCATTCAAAGAAAGACCTACATTTTACAGTAGTGGCCGAGTGCTTGTTGATCAGTATGTGAACGGTTACTAGGTGAGGATTGCAGATCAATAGATGAAGTAGTGGAACCTCATCAATTGAGTTGGTTGGGTCATGTGGTGCGCATGCTTAACCACTGACTACCTCGACGGGCCATGTTTTGTGGTGTAGGGGTAGGCTGGAAGAAAGCTAGGGCCGGCCAAACCAAAACATGGCACAAATCCATGAAGTCACTGACAAGTGGACTGAATTATGTTGGTATGTGTAGACTATCAGGTTGGGGTATGCGAGACGATATAGTAACCGATGGTTAGAGACTTTAAATGACATGGGTCGAAATTGTTTGCAATCGCACAGGTGCATTTATTCTTTGTGTTCTCTCAAATTCATCAATCGATTTGGTTGGGTTATGTGTTATGCATGCTTAACTACTGACTACCTCAACGACCCATGTTGTCTGATCCCTCTGAGATATACATCTCGAATAATATAATTGATCATTAATCTTTTTGATTACTGCTCATACCTCTACTACTATGGGATTTGAATTAGCAATTGTGTCTCTGTGCTAATGTGGTGTGTCAACTTGAATTGATGTACATACATACGTACGTACAAGTTTTACATCGTAACTGATTGACTGACTGACTGACTGATTAACTGATCAATATGTGAATTAGCAGATATATATGTATGTAAGTATGTGTACCACGGTTCGGACTTGATAGTTTCAACGAAATTGAGCACTGAATGCAATGTTAATAATAATAATAATAATAATTTTTGATGATTTTCAAAATTTCTATGTATATGTATGTATGTATGGATAGTATCAGTGGCTGAGATTATTTCTTTGTAAAATTATTTATTCGAGTACACGATGCCTTTCAGCTCCATGTACACATTTTCTTTACTTATTTACTTCGTTGATCTAGCAAACACTGGACATGAAGATGTTGATCAACCAATGACATCTGGTGAAAGAAAAACCGAAGAAATTACATCCGTTTCTACGGCATCAAATGGTAATACAGAGTCACTATCGTCAACTAGTCGATCACGTAAACAACGTCTATGCAAAAACTGTGATGCCGAATTGACGTCGACTGTTGATGGTCCACCTTCACCTATGGTATGTATTGCAAACATTTCGTATTACTCTGATTCCTCCCTTATCTTTGATTTTGATGTGATAATCGAGCTTGTATAGATATCATGTTGACCCAGTTGGTATATTTTAGCTGGAATACTGTTGTTTGGGATCTTGTTATGTCAGACAGATATGTTTTAGTTTGACAGCATACCCATGCTCCGAGGGTAAAGTCGTACTACCGACTGTACTGTGGCTTGATAACGGTGTGGTGTTTCCTTTCTTCGCCGTTTAACAACACAAAGAAAGGCTTAGAAAATTTTGACCCCAAACACCACACACTTCATATTGCCCCATGGATTTCTGACTCCGATCGCAAAACTTCTAAAGTATAGCGATAACTCATCTGAAACTACTCTTAGGATAGCCGTATTTAGAGTTGCCCTTTTAAACTCTGCAATGACACTCTCAAGTTTCTGTGCGACCATTCCACCACCACAGTTTTCTTTACAAATGCCTCAACAAGGACTACTCTTTTACGGTTTAAACAATTACAAAATGACTACTGTTCCTATATCACTAACAGTACTAAACTGACTGACTATATATACCCATTCAGTGACCTAGCAGCTCTACATTGTTCCACAATTACTGTACTTTTTTTATAGCTCAGTGTATTATTGATCACACAGTTTCTGTTATTCGTTCAAACTATGCTCAGTGTATATTAGTCTAATATTCAAACACTTTGAAATTATTTCGGATTATAGTATTATGAATGAATCCTTGCTAGAGTACCATTAGAAACCTAGAAGCACCAATGGTTACAGACCTTGAATGACATGGCTCAAAATCGATCGCAATGGCGCCGGTGCATTTATTCTCTGTGTTCTCTCAAATCCTAATCTTCTGGATTCTTCAACACCTCTAGTTTCGACTCTCTAAACTTTTCTCACTGAATCATACTTCTTGAATAGTATCTTCTAATCCTAACCTCTCGGATTACTTCTAATTCCCTTACTACCTCTTCTACTATTGGATTTGAATTGACGATTACTTCTCTGTGCTGATGTGGTATGGCAACATGAACTGATGTACTTACGTACAAAGTTCTACGTTGCATCTGACTGACTGAGAAGCACTAGATGGTTACTCGCAGGATTCGTGGATGTGCACTGTTGATGAGTCTCATACCAGGACGAAACAGCCGTCTTTCAGTGCTTCCAGATTTCTGATGGTGGTCTAGCCACTGACTGAATCATGACTTCTACTTAAATATCAAGTATTCAGTATAGCTAGGTAATTTTAGCCTCATAATGTACAACATCAAGTGCCGGCTCAATCGTTCATAAGTAGTTAAGTTCGATTCTCACATAGAGAGAGAGGGTCATTGATGCACATTACCTGAACAGTCATTCCCATATTGAAACAAGACAGTTGCCCAATACTTCTCAGTTTCCTATAACCGTCTACTAATATTGATCAACTCATGATTTCAATGGAATCACGTTAATATTTGCTTCATGGCACAACAGTTTTAAATGATTTCTGTCATGTATGTCAATATAGACCTGTAGCGTTTATTTCTCTCCTAATTTCCACTTCAGCTAGAGGAATTTGGCATGTTCTTTGCCACTGTATCATTGAAATCAATATTGACCATTGAATAAATGATATTTTAATCAAAAATCTCACATTGTTTTTATTTTTTTGTTTTTTTTGAACATATTATTTAAATAATTAAAAATTTCATCTATGCAACAAAAGAAATCAAAGCGACTGTTGAGTTTTTTTTTTACTTCTTTCAAATCGGTCACAAGGTCATTTAAATAAAAAGTAAAACAAAGTTGACTAGATTTAAAGTTCATTGAATGATTTATTTATTTATTCATTTATAAATTTAAAGGAACCACCACCATTGAACACATTTTTATAGAGTCAATGTAATTATTATATTTAATCTAATTAAGTTTTCGGTATATTTTAGTAAATATAAATAATTTATATTTAGCTTTTTTTGCATTAATTTACATTCCAATATATCTATATCTATACATTTCCTATTGATTTCGAACATCTTGTTAGTGAATTGAATGTTACACGTTAAAATAGTTGAATAGTTTTTTTTTCTCTGGTATTAGGGATTTACAAGAATGTACATGTTGTTCTATTTGTCTTTGAACCCTGATCTTTCCGATTACTGTTAATACTTTTGAAATACCTCTACTACTTTGGGATTTGAACTGATACTCCGTGCTAATGTTGTGGTATGACAACCTGAACATATGTATGTACGTACGTACGAATTTCTACGTTGTGTAACTGACTATAACTGACTGACTGACTGACCGACCGTTTTACTATTCGGGATGTGAATCCCAGTGTTGATGGTTCACATTTGCGAAGTTGATCTTAGCATCTTTCTCCTCTAGTGCCATACATGTTTTCTTCCGTTGAGTCCAAACCAAAACATGGCCGAAATCCATGAATTCACTGACAAATGGACTGAGTCATGTTGGTAGATTTAGGTTACCTGGTTGGGGTCCGCCGAACGAAATTCACCAATCGTTAGAGACTTTGAATGACATGTCCCAAAATCGTTAGCATTTGCACAGGTGCATCTATTCTTTGTGTTCTCTCGAATCCTAACCTTCTGAATTCCTCATCATCTCTATCTTTTTCTTTTTAAATTTATCGCACTGAATTATACCCTAATCTTCTCTATTACTGCTTATACGTCTACTATCGCTATCACTATGTGATTTAAACTGACAGTTGCTATACTAATGCGGTATGGCAACCTGAACTGATGCACGTACGTATGAAGTTCTTTGTTGTATCTGTCTGTCTGTCTTCCATTGAGTTATTAATTCTAAGCTGCTGTCGACATATTCTATACATCGTGTTGTGACGTGAATATTTTTGTTAGTCACAGTATGAACATCTGCTCTACAATAAATGTACTTGTATCTCCAGCTGACCAGCGCCAGACAAGACGAACTGCCTCTCTTGAGTTCCATTGCTAGTCAAAATACGTCTATCTTAAATTACTTGAAACCTAATTGTTTACACTGAGTCCAAACCACATAGAATATATGCATGTATATACCAACAAGGACTGGTGAGTTTCCGTCCCTACGATCGGAAAATCTAAATGTCATATTAACTATGATATAAATGTTATAATTCAAAGCTGATGCTCTTTCTGACAATCAGAGCAACCATTAATTTAGGTCAAGTGTTTCCGACTTGTAGACTTACTAGTTTCACATTACTGATTGATTTTGTGTTAGCTAACCATAGGAAATGCCTATCAAGTATAAGATAAAATATTCCCAGTACTGATAATGATTGGCAGTTGTATGTCATCGCAAAGTCATTGGATGTCAACTCATCAGTTTAAAAGTTAAGCTCATCTCAGCGAGGAGGTCTAATCCTAGGTAGGTAGTTTTAAATGAACACTACTGTGGAATCCCAGTGTGGTGGATGCTACTCGTAAGGTGGTATATAAGTAGTACTTGGCAGAGCGTCATCTACAAGTTGTTATCAGAGAGAGGGAGAGGTGTCTAAAGACCAAAATGTTTAGCGCGATCAAAGTGTATTGGAGACCAGAAGAGATGTAGGAGAAAACACTCAGAAACGTACTTGTATAACAAATAACTGTTTAAAGATTCGATGTACTTATTTCGTAAATAATCTGTGTCTTCTCTACATACATATATTTCATTTGACTTTGACATCTTAACACCATTACCTGTTGGTTTTCATTCATTTACGAACTGATGTTAGTCTGTGTTATTGAAACCTCTTAACAACAGTTTATCAGAATCAAGATGATAATATAATGACGATGTTATTGAAATCATGAATGAATCATTGTTAGACCACCACAATTAGAAATCTGAAAGCGCTGAACGGCCATTCCGTCCGGCTCAATGATCCAGAGGTTAGATGTTCATGCGAGCAACCCCGAAGGTCCTGGGTTCGATTCCTGTGAGTAGCGGGTGCACACTGTCACTAATCAGTCCCATACCAGGACGAAACGACTGTCCAATGCGTTCAAGTTTTCAATGATAAAGGTCTAACAATGATTGATTCATGATTTCATCAATAAACAACAATCTTCATAACTTTACAATGAAAAATTACACCCATTAAATAAACAATTTGAAAGTTCAAAATTATTAGAAGAAAAAAAAACAAACAAACATGAAAATGTTGCACGTATAAAATTGTAGCGCCTGAACTATTTCAACCTCATAGATATTGTAGATATACGCATTCTTTTGTCTTAAATCAATGTTCTCATTGAATGAAATAGAAAAATCAAATTTTTTTTTGTAAGAAAAAAAAACATTTTAGTGAATATGTGCACTACTACTACTGCTGCTGCTACTAAATACATTTCAGTAAGTAGTAAATCATGACCTCGATCACATGATATTGGTTGGTTGTTTGTTTTTTTGAAATCTAACACAACAAGGTGTATTATTTATTTATCTCTCATTAATGTGTATTAAATTTTGTCAATTTGTGGAGTTGAAAGTAAATCGACAGCAGGCAAATCCTACTTACTTCAACCACTGGGTTTCTGTTTGTTAGCACTTACCAGTATGACATATCTATAATTTTCAAGGAACTATCATACTCCTAATGTTGTGTAGTGTGGTGATCCAGCTGAGTTATTCGGCGTCATGAGTATCAACTATTGATTATTACTTCACAACTAACTACACTGTCTAACATTTCGACATGGTTCATGCCGATATCAAGTCACTGAGACTGTAGTGGGTGGATCCTATCATTAAAATTCGTTCAGCACTTAATCACTGGCAACAAATGATAATTAATATGGGTCATACTATTTAGTAGTTGATCAGTCAATGCATATAAGTCAGTCATCATCTACAACGTAGAACTTCGTACGTACAAATGTACATCAGTTCAAGTTGCCATATGACATAAGCACACAGAGATGGTATTGTCATTTCAAATTCCATAGTAGTAGAGGTAGTAGAAGCATTAGCAGTGATTTGAGAGATTAGGGTTCGAATATCGGATTCCAGAAGTATATTCTATTGAGGTAAATTTTAAAATATAAAAAGCGAGGTCATCAGGGCTACAATTTGAGAGAGCACAAAGAATGGATGCACCTAAACCATTGCAAATGATTTTTGAGGGATGTAATCCAAAGTCTCTAACCATCGGTTATGATTGTCTCGCGGACCACAACCAGGTAGCCTGCACCTACCAACATCACTCGGTCCAGTTTTCAGTGACTTCATGAATTTGTGCCATGTTTGGTTTGGCCGCCCCTTGGTTTTTTCCAGCCTATTCCGACATCACACAGTATCATTCGTCGGTGTAGTCGGTTTATCCTTTCCTAAACACGAGCTAGCATCGCTTACTCAATTGTCCCGGAGTATACGAGCAATGCTCCGAAGACAACTACAATCAAGTGCCTTCCAAATAAAATATTAAATGACATATTATTATTATTATCTTGTCTGAATTTTACTTTTCAATATTTGATTACAGCCGAATAATCATCATTTAGGACAATTACGATTACTTTGTCCGGATTGTCGTATTCATTTACAAAAATATGGTGAATTAAAGTGTACATGGAAAGACAAAGAAATGACTAATGTATCTGATGTAAGTTAATTTAAAAATTATTTATTTGTATGTTTGACTAATTGTTATCGTTTGTAATGCATGGAATTTAATACTGTTCACCAACTTGTTAGTTTCATGTCCCGTCTTCTCAGTTTTGTAAAAAAAGAAAACACAACCACTGTACGCGTGGGGACAGCGAGTTGGACTTCCTTATCAGTGGTTATACATGTGTGATCATTTAAAACTATTTGAAGAGAGAACGATCTCCCCTTACTCTCGGTTGTATTAAGGCATTTGGGGATACGCATGATCCTACCTAGAAGATTTGGAAAACCAAATCATTGATACGCTACGCCTCCATCATCCTGAGAGAACAAATTGCGTACGAACTTGTTGTTGGTCACCGGTTATCGTGCGACTGCAACTTATTGAGTCGGGTCACGCCCGGTCTTTCCATAAAACCTTTTTAACGTATTAGCTCCGCTTTCCAAAAGGCCTTACCGATGGAGATGGAAATTCGTGGAATGTAGTGAGATGTGACATTTGTACAATCGACCTTTTCTAACTTCTTCCTTCCTTGTGAGAAGGCAGCATGGCTACAGATGCTGGTTGTCCGAGAGAAACACCTTACTTTTCTCACACACACACACACACACCTCTACAATCAGCTGTACAACTTCGTTCTTAGACTTTGAATCATAATACTTTTAGTCATACTGCTGTACAATCGACCTTCCTGGCATGATAGAACCTACAGGAACATATGTTCCATCCAGTATAACTCAATTGGGTCATGACCATAGTCACATCCGATACCATCATGTGAAGGTAGCGGCTATGTTCGGGAATATATTTCTGTAACCGCACACTTGAAACTTATCAAAAGGGAAAAAAATAAATCTATAAGGTCATTTGAATGCATATATATATATATATTTTTTTTTGCATTTCTCGCATTTTCTTTTACACTACCATTGCTAATTGATTTTCTGTTTTGATTTGATTTGATTGTTGTTCTGTTTTGTTTATTTCTATTCTATTCTGTTCTGTTCTGTTCAATTTAGACATTGAATTTAACCACTAATGGTAAGTGTCAATCATTTCTTTTATCATGTGTGTATGTACTATGACTAAGAAGTGTACAGTTGCTTGATTTTATTTTTAATTTTATTCTCATTTGACCATTATAATTATGTAATGAATTGGTGCATTCTTCATGGTTAAATTGTATGACTGTTATTGTTCTGCAGCATTCTTCATTCTAGAGAGAGATTCTTGTGATCCCACCCTCAACCTTGCGGTTGGATTATTAGCATAGGAGGTTTGTTGTAGGTTTACCGTATCTGAAGCTAATAATACATGAACTACAACTTCTCTAGTGAGGTCAAACAGGTGCTTTGGCATTAAGGAATCCCATACTAAGAAAGAAACAACTATCCGATGCTTTCCTCGTCTCAATTGTTATCTTACTGAAATCGTTACGTGTTATGAACTGTTATGCCACTTGTTTGATTGGTGTCTTTTATTTTTTATAAGCCATCTAGAAGTTTTGCATTAGAGTATTATGGAGATTGTTGTTTTACATTGAAATCATGATTCAATCATTGTTAGACCATCATTAGAAGCCTAGAAGCACTGGTAGTCCGTTTCGTCCTGGTATGGGGCTCATCAGTGGCAGTGCGCATCCGCGACTCCTGCTACTCACAGGATTCGAACCCAGGAGCTCCAGTCTAACGCTGATTGATCATAGGGTTTCGCACAACCTCACCTATTATCTTTGTAGTTAATGCCTACACCCGACAAGGTTGAACCCTACTGGTCACGTCTTCTTCCGGAACTCTAAGAACTTGTTGCTTTTAGTATTACTGTCCTCCAATCGACCTGCCTGACATGGTAGGAACTAAAAGAACGCTTAACCTGTGGATCACTGAGTCGGCATCCGACATTGTTAATGTCTAATGCTGATTAATCATAGAATTTTGCGCAACGTCACCTCACCTCGACCGGCCTGACATTGTGGTACCTAAAGAAACATATGTTGGAGCCCTTATAGTTCTTTTGGGTCATCACGATAGGCAAGCCTGACCGCCTCCGTGTCAAATTAGGAGCTACGGTTGGGCGATAAACTAATGTTATAAGAGATCATGATATAGAAGAATTAAAATTGTTCTAACTTTTATTTACTTTTTAAGTTAAACATATGATTATTATTCGAAAAGATGACGGAAACAAGTTTTTATCGTTTACAAACAAATAGATTATGTAATGTAGAATAGTTGAGTAGAGTCTGGAAGTAAAGAATTAAGGTGTTAGAAATTCGACCAAAGATTATGGAAATAAGATGAGGCGGTCTTGCATTATAAACTCACTGAATGTCAAGGTCACGAAGGCAAAACAAGATTGAAAGCTGTTTCTTTCTGAATACATAAATTCATTTTGAATCTCATTACTGCAACGATTTGAGCACCAAGTAGCAATTTCGAATTCTTTTGTTCACTGATTATTTCGGACGTTTTTGAGACTTTAACACCAATAACTTTATCAAACAGGCAATTGAGCTATTGTAAAGCTTTTGTCCGTTTAGTCTCAACTTTTGTAGAATATGTTCAGAGAAGCGGACAAATCCCTCCTTTCTGTTCGTCCGATGTATGCGCTTTACCACACACAATTGAATACAACATTAGGCCGTGTATTTGTCCACATTTGATTGTTTTAACAAACATTTAGTTCGGTATATACAGACTGATTAGTATTGGCCTTAGCCTAATACCAATTCCCCTGGCTATTTCATCACTCTTGAAACTAAGTTTTAAGAAGACAGGATTTTTCTCAACTGTTGGATATTTCAGTTTTTGTGTCATGTAAATGTTATTGGTTATTTGTGAATTCATGTAAAATTTAACGTAGGATATGTTCTCGGTATTTCTTATTCATTCTTATGCTAGTTAGCCATTGATCTGTCTAACTCATCCATCAAAGCATCATGAGTGATTGATTTGACGTTTTGAATTAAGATAACGCCTTATGGGTTTTTGCATGAAATCCAAATCATGTTATCGGACATAGCTTGCTTCTTAGGGAGCGTGATATATAGAAATTTTCTGTATCAAGAGTACTTTATATACTGTACGAATCTAAACATTAGATTGTCGCAAATGCTTAATGTGGTTGCAGATAGATTGTAGTATCTGAAGCATACTAATTCGTCATTGAGCGTACTCGTTCAAGTGTATTTGTGTTTCATTCTTTTACACCTAGCCGTAACCTCCTAACCACTTTTTTACTGTCTATAATGCATATTTTAATATAAATAAGTCTTTTAATCATGTCAACATAGTTTCTGAATTACTGCTCAAGTTCTTTTAGCATATTGATCTTCGCGTACTCTTTTCATGTACTTATACACTCTACTTATAAGTAGTCAGAGTGTATACCATTCAAAAAATTTTTCTATTTGTCTTCATTGTAGATGATATAAACTTACAAAAGAAAGAATTAACCGATGAAATCCCTATAAATAACATTAAAGAAGATGAATTAGAAGACGGTCAACATACCACTATAAAAGATGAGTATTGTGATGAAAAAATACCTGTGAATGCCACGACAACAAAACCTACACATCCGTCATCGTCACCATCATCATCACCTCACTACTACTACGACCATCATGGTAGAAAACATAAGAAACCTGCATTGCATCGATTAAAGCAACCATCGCATTCGGATGATTATGACTCGTCAACTTACTTGTCATCATCCCCATCAGTATCTTCACGTAGTCTACACATGGATAGATATTATTGCTCTGCTTCATCGTCCATTTCATCTTCACCGAGATCATCATCTCAATTGGATGAGGACGACGACGACGACGACGAGGATTCGGATTATATCGGATCTGATTATGAATCGGACAATTCATCCAGAAGCAGTGGTAGTGGTAGTAGTAGTAGCAGTAGTCGTGGTTCCATCGGTAGTAACAAGTCACATGATTTAAATGAAATCCATTCAGAGAATCGTTATCGGAAAAGAAAAAGACGAAAAGGTTGTTCACACAGCATTGATCATTCACGTGTAAAAGGCACAAAACACACATGCAACAATGATGATGATGACGATATAGAATACATGTGTAAACCACCGCCTAAATTGGATGATATCAGAGATTATGATTGTGGTAGAGAAGAGAATCAAAGTGAGTATGATTTCTTTTCCTCCTTTTGTTGTCTATCAAAAAATAACGATTTGCCTAATAGTCCGATTTGTATCACTATGATTGGGTGATCGCCAAATGTTTGACTATAACCATTGCTTTCTAAGATATTGGTCATATAAAATAAATGTTGATTGATTTCTGTGAAGCATTGCTTGTATATCCTGATACCAACAAGTAAGTAGTGCTGTTGTTAGGAAACGGGTGCTAGGTAAGGATAGCAGGTCAATAGATGAAATGGTGAAGCTTCATCAGTTGAGGTGGTTAGGACATGTGTTACGTATGCCTAACCACCGACTGCCTTTACGAGCTATGTTTTTTGGTGTAGGAGTAGGTTGGAAGAAAGCTAGGGGCGGCCAAACCAAGACATGACAGAAATCCATGAAATCACTGACAAGTGGACTGAGTCATGTTGATAGATGTAGGCTACCTGTTTGGGGTCCGCGAGATGATAATAATCGATTGTTAGAGACCTTGAATGACATAGCTCAAAATCGTTTGCAATCGCGCAAGTGCATCCATTCTTTATATTCTCTCAAATTCTAACCTTCTGAATTCCTCATCATCTCTGTCATTCACTGGATATCACCTTTCGAATCATATCTGCGATCCATAATCTTTCTCATTACTGCTAATACTTCTACTATCTCTACCACTATAGGATTTGAATTGAAAATTGCATCCCTGAGCAACTTGAAACGATGTACATACGTACGAAATTCTACGTTGTAAATGACTGACTGACTGGTTTATGAAATAATGAAAAGATTAATCTTTCAAACCGTCATCATTTGAAGCAGGAACTGGATATTTGTTGCTTGTGTATGTAACTAATACTTACCAAGAAAAGATACTGTGGACCTACCTACCCACCTACCTACCTACAGACTAGTCAAAATCACCAACCTGACACATTAATTCCATAAAATCATTGAATCTATCATCTCTACAGATAAACTTTTTAGGTTATTTTTGGCTTTTTAGTATGAGGATTTTTTTTGTTAAAATCATCGTGACGAAAATGTGTGGAAGTTTTAAATTTTCCTCCTAGTTTTTTCCGACATTTTTTTTTAAATCTCGTTTGCCAATTTTCTATTAATAACACACAGTAGTGTTCATTCATTACTTTGGTCACGTAGTGTGTTTAAACCTATTGACTGTAATATTTACGCAGTTTGGCTGTCTAGTAGTGGTATTTCAGCCTCTGGTAGTTACATGATGATAATAAGATTTTTATCCAAACTTATGATATTGAATGTTCGATCGATAAATCAGTCGATAGTAAATAGGATTAAACTTTAAACTGAGCACAATCGATCAATTGACTCGAATAGAATACGGTAATGAGTCACGTGATGTGTTTTTATTACTCAGCCAGCTTTATTGCAGCCATATATGTTTTGTCTTCTTCGTTTAATGACCAAACCACTGATTGTGTTCATTCGATTTTAGTCGCTTTTAAAATAAATCGCTGCGATTGAACTAAACGTTTGACTTTGTGCCAGTAAAGTGAGTGATCAGTTCAGTCGGGGCAGTAGTATCATGAGCCTTCTTTACATACTACTACTACTACTACTACTACTTATGTTTATTCTAGAATCTTTCTCTCCCTCTCTCTATCTTCTTCTCTGATTTAATTTCTCTCACTGTACACATTTTTAGATAATATGGATATGAATGATTCTTATCGACCTGATGGTAATACTGCTACTGCTACTACTAATAATAAGAAGAAGACTGTTTTACAATCATCTGAAATTCTTTCAAGTTCCAATCTTACTGATTCACGTGATACAAAAGGACATATTTCCAATGTATTGTATTCTAATACTACTACTACTACTACTACCATGAACAACCTTACTGAACAAAAACAAGACTTTATAATGAAATTACCACCTTCTATCGATACTACTCATAATAATGATGATAGTAATAATATTATTGATAATCGACAATTGTCTGGTGAAACTGATGCTGATCGTCTACAACAACAGGATGATACTACTACTACTACTACTATTGATGATGATGATGATGATGATGATGACGACGAATTAGAAATTGATAAATTGATCACTGCAACCAATGAATCCAATCCATCCTCCTGTTTCATGTAAGTAGTAGTAAGTAGTATGTGTATGCATGTGTAAATAATTGGGTTTTTTGTTTTGTTTTTGCGTTGTATTATTTATTTTCAGTGAATTCTATTGTATCTTTTCGTTAAATTACTTATGCCTGTTACTCATAGTGGAGCATAGGCCTCTAGGCCAGCATTTTCTCCAACCTTCGCTGTCCTGGGCCTACTTTCTTAGTTCTGTCCAACTGTTATTTATTATTCTCATGTCTATCTCCGATTCTCGATGTAATGTGTTCTTTGATCTTCCAATTTTCCTTCGATCTTGACGATTCCAAATTAGGACTTGTCTTGTGACGTAGTTGGATGCTTTCCACAATATGTATCTTATTCAGCTCTATCTCGTTTGAAATCTATGGGTATAGAAATTAAATGATGCATAGAAAATAAGTAGTCGTCTCTATGCATTTTACATGTTATATCTATCCTGTTGTATTCAATAATATATAATTAGATACTTAGTTACTTACTTATGCGCGCCTGTTACCTTCAATCTATCGTAGGCCACCGACTAGCGAATTATTTTCCCGGTTAGCGTTTTTTTAACGAATTGGGTTTAAAAAAAACAAATTCATTCATTCAAAGCGTCTAGTTTATTTATATATGTACAGTGTTGACTTTTAAATCTTAAAAGCTAATAAGGTTCAAGTCCCTATGACAATGAGATATACTCTGTGAATTCAATTATTTGTATTATTTATTTGTCTAAATTACAATGAAATTGTTACTATTATTATTATTATTATTATTGTTATTATTGTCATTCAGTGATGCACATCGTTCTACATGGTCACATCTTGTACGTATTTGGAATAGACAAATACAATATACTTCACATAAACCAATAGTAGTGACTTCTGAAGCAGAAGCAGCCCCAGCAGCTGCAGCTGATTGTCAACAATCAACAATGATTCAAACAAATCATGGTTCATGCGCTCGTACTGATCTTATTTATAATGGTCGTGGTGGATTCAATCAACATCATTATAATAATAATAATAATAATCAAGACTATTGGACTGTACAAAAGTATAATTTATTGATAAAATACTCAGATACAGCTATTGGACCTGGTGTTAATCATTTTCTCTCATCTATGGCATCAACACTTCCTAATCAATTCAATGGAGGATCATCAGTAAATCAAAAATCAGAAATATTAAATTTAACTTCACCTTCTCCAACTGCCGCCGCCGCTGCTGCTGCTGCTGCCACTGTTGCTATTACTACGACAACAGTAAGTTAATTCTATTCATTTTTTGATATTGTCTGAGGTTGATGCCACCAGCTTAGTGGTGTCTAGAGGGGGGGTTAAGCGTTCGCATGAGAGATCCGGAGGTCTTGGAGGTCGATTGCTGCGAGCGGGGGTTGTGGATGTTACTGATGCCACTGGTGATAAAACGGCTGTCCAGTGCTTGTAGGTTTCTAATGGTGGTGTTGGTCTAACAATGATCAATTCATGATTTCAATAAAACAGAAATAATTGAATTCATGAATTTATGAATATAACTAATCAGATAAAGATATTACTGAATCAGTTGATAATAAGGTATTTTGTGGATTATGTAATGTATATATATACTCGACTATCGTTTACTTTGATGATATGTGATATTTTCTAATGTAGTCAGTCAGCTACAACGTAGAACTTCCTACATACATATGTACATCAATTCAAGTAGCTATAACACATTAGAATAGAGACGCTATTGTTAATTCAAATCCCATAATAGTAGGAGTATTAGCAATAATCAACTAGATTAATGATCGAACATATATCATTCAAGATCTATACCCAAGAGAAATTGGTTAAAAAAGAGAAAAACAGTCATGAGGAATTCGGAAGGTTAGGATTTGAGAGAACGCATGGAATGAATGCACTTGCGCCATTGCAAACGGTTTTGAGCCATGATATTCACGGTCTCTAACCATCGGTTACTATCGTCTCGCGTACCCCAACCTGTTAGTTTACAGCTGCCAAAATGGTTTAGTTCACTTGTCAGTGACTTCATGAATTTGTGCCATGTTACGTTCTAGCCGCCCCTAGCTTTCTTCCAGCCTAACCCCTACACCACAAAACATGACCCGTCGAGGTAGTCAGTGATTAAGCATGCGTAACACATGACCCAACCAACTCAATTGATGAGGTTTCACTACTTCATCTGCTATCCTTACCTAGTACTCATTTCTGAACAACAGCATTGCTTACTCGGTGGTGTCAGAATATACGAGCAATACTTCAAAGACACCTATGATCGGAAATCAGTAATCAATCATACTAACTGATTGCCGAAACCGAAATACTGATAGTTTGCTTGGAACATTTAGATTTAGTGACTGATATCATAGTATGAAAATATATGTTGCTCACTCCACTTAACTGTTGTCTTATTTATTTTGACGACTTTATTGGGAAACTTGATTAAATAACAAGTCAACTCAAATACACAACATTTTTATACAATGTGATATATATATATATATATATATATATATATATATATATATATATAACAGTCTAAACTTCCTTTTGACGTTTTCCTCATTCTTTCATGCCTTTAGACAAGCTATACACCTATGCCATGTCATCCATCTCCAGGTATTCATGATACTTCACCAACAACTGCTCTTGATTTATGTTCTCGTAATAGTAGTAGTAGTACTAGTAGCAGTGGCACTTCAAAACGACCATATATTCCGTCTTCATCATCAGAACAACCATGTACAAAATCTCGTCGATCATTACAATGTGATACCGTGAATAATTCTTACCTTCATCATTCAATTTCATCCAATGTTCCGAATGCAAATATCATTGGTACCACCTCCAATTCACTAATACCACCGTCAGTCTCATTATCAACAACCTGTGGATTGAGATCGACTGTTAATAGTACTACTACTAATAATAATATTAGTAGTAGTAATAATAATAATAATAATCTAACAAGCCAGCAACAACAACAACAACATCAACGACAACTTCAAACTATGTATGAACAAGCATTGATATTTGCTGCAGCCGCTGCAGGTCACTATCATCCACATAGTAGTGACTATCCTTCTTCTTCTTCATCTGGTCCAATGCTACTACGTGATCCATGTAAATTTTTCCCAACTAATTTTGATTTGTCTAATCAAACAAAACAGGTTCCAATTGTATCTTCACCAAATCTACGCTTTACGCATTCAAATACAAACAATAGTAATAGTAATAGCAATAATAATAACAATAATAATAATAATAATAACAGTCCTTCAATATCAACTAGATTAGGTGCAGCAACTGGTACATTCTATCCACCAATTTCATCATTGTCAACTTCAACTGGTCACTCGTCTTCATTATCGTCTAACAATAATAATAATAATAATAATAATAATAATACTAATAATAATAATGCTAATCTCAACAATACCTATGGTGGAATAAACAAATCATCGATTAGTGGTGTTGGCACTGCATTCAATTTCAATCTAACCGATACCCAATATCAGTCATTGAATTTGCCATCGGCACAAATGTCTATGCCGTCCGGTGTTGGTGTTGGTGGTGTAGGTGTAGGTGCTGGTTCTACACCTATTCTTCATGGAACAAATCTTAATCTTACTACTGGTACCAGTGGTAGTAGTTATTACAATGGTTGTAAGTATTTCTTCATTCAGTGTTTAAGTTGATATATATATATTATGTATATATATATATATATATATATATATATTAAGTGGTTGTTTGTTTGTTCTCTGTGGTGTTGTTGCATTCTCTAAGCTGGATGTTTATTTTGATTGTGGATCTGTCATCATTGTACTTCTTCTTCTTCTTCTGAACAACAACATTATCCTACAGCACAAACTTCAGATAGAACTGAATGAAGTAATCGAATTTCTCCATGTGCATGACCCGTATCTTGTTCAAAAAAGAGAACAATGCTTGAAAGCTCCACAATCAAAATCACATCCAGCTTTGAGAATGAAACACCACCACCACCACCACGACTAGATTCATCCACATCTGAGCTTCAAACAATCAGTGTTTCATTCTACTGAAGGTTTTATCATTTGATCAATGATAAGATTTACTATTATTTTTTTTATCTGACTCTATTTACCGGGCTGTCTATAACTAACATCGATAGGGTTGTCAAGTCAGACAATGCGTGTCAGCGGTAACTATGATAATGAAAACAAACCGAGCTCAAAGCTTGTAAACATCCTGTAGTTTTCAAAACAATAGTTTACATTCATAGATTAATGCAGAGTTGACTGCTCCATAGTGCCATTCATTCTTGAGTTTGTATAAACTGATTTTTTTTGTCTATGTTTACCGAGGTGAGCTGAACTTTCTGAGTCTTTGGTGAGATTTTTGTCAGACATGATTCTACTAAGGTTGGTGAAATCTCCACGGTAAATATGTTCAACTGTTTCACTCTCTATTGTTAGTGTAGGCTCTGGCCATCGATCACTCCTGAACACAATATTATACATTCATAGAGAGAGAGCGACTCATTTCAAACTTGTTTGCATCGTTGCTTAAGATGATCAAAGCAGGTTGAGGTTTTTCGACATCTTGAACAAGTAGGACTATATAAATTTCTACGTATTTTCAGTTAACAAGTAAATCTCCTGGTAGGAAGATCAACAATTTTTGGACAACAAAGTGATAGATGTCATCACTTCGGCAAGTTTCGCTAATTGTCCATATACAAATTTGGTTTGCGAAGTGACTGATTTCATTTATACTGATGTTTAATAGTTGTCTTGGAACATTCCCGAGCGTTATTATCATTGGGATGCTGTAATGCAAATGAGCATCGTTGCTAATAATCATAATAATAATGAGTTTGTGACAGTCGTGTAAGCGGAATGGATCAAATTGGCCTATTCATGCTGTACATATTGTTTGACACGTTCATGGATCAGAAATAATCACCATATGTGTTATTGGTGTATATAAATAGTCCACCAGGGTGTCAGGTACCTCATTGTGGCTGCACCACAGGATTGAGCTGAACTATTCAGATTGTAGTGTTAACACGTGGACACTGTCTGGTTCCCCATAAAAACCAATGTGAAATTACCCTTGCCTATTATGGCTGAATTTATGTAATTGTAAATTGTGTTGTGTTTAAGCCAGATTTTTACATACGAACTATCTGATTAGAATTAAAAAGATACCAGTGATCAATATGGTTGAACATTTTTTTAGGTAATCTAGGCCTGATCCGTTCAGTTTTTGATCTTTCCTTTGAATTTTTCAGTACTAATATCCTTCTGATCCCCCTTTTTTCCGATCTTTATTTTCAATGCTCAATTGTTAATTCATTGCTTTGATTTATTTTTCTGTTTTAATTGCTATTTTCTCCCCGTTGCGCTTATTTGGGTTCAGGGTTATGTGAGAATTTGTTTCTATCTCTTTCTAGACTTATCTCACTGAATTAGACTTCTTGAATCATATCTTCGTATCCTAATCTTCTCCTTTACTGCTTATACTTGTACTATCTATACCACTATGGAATTTGAACTGACTATTCCGTCTTTGTGCTAATGTGGTATGGCAACTTCAACTGATATACCTAAGTACGCACGAAATTCTACGTTGTAACTGACTGTTGGGGACGTTAGATCCCCGAACTGATTTGGTCAAGGTCCTAATTTTGGATTTGTTGCGTTTTCGCGCATAAGCTGCTCAGTTAACCTTGAGACTACATTTCCCACTCGGAAAATCCTTGACTGTGATTGGTTGATGGATTGTTGTAGTACGCTAATTTTGTGGCTCTCTCAATGATATTTCTATGATGTATAAATAAACTCGGTTTGAGTACTTGTTAACCTCATATTTTCTGGGTGCTTTTAGAAAACACTTTCTACTCCTTATCACGACTTTTTACTATAATTAGCACGGCCCGGTGACAATCGAATCACAATAGCCCATCATATCACTGCATCATTTGTCTTCGCTCCTGTTTACCGACTAAGGTGAACTCGTAATAGCATTCAAGCATATTAACTGATAAGCATATCACTGACTTACTGAATTCGGTGAATACATATTTTTGTCAGTTAACCTTGTTGTTGTTGATAATAACTAACCAATATGATCATTACTGTTTAGTGTATATTTATGTAATAAAGTGTCTATATTATATTATTACAATGTATAAATTTATCTCTTTCAACAGTGGGATCTTCATCATCGAATTCACCTTTGTCAACAAATCAATTTTATAATCATCCAGAGCTTTTACAACGACAATTAGCTTTAATGGGACTACTGCCACGTAAGTAAATTTTTATCATTTTACACGCTTCTTAATGTATAAATTTTATTTGTTTTGTCGATTTACAAGTTCACTACATCTAAGGTAGGTGTATATATTGACTGACTAATCAAATTTTCTAACTTCCATTGAAATCATGAACTGATCCATCCATGTTAAACTATAAATGGAAACATGCAAGCACTCTGGACAGCTATTTCACATCCTTGTATGGCGGCACTCTAACTCATTAGCCAGTACACAACAGAATATTAGAAAACAGAATAATGTTAATTACACTTACTACTACTCTTATGAATATATGAATTCAAACTTGAATATTCGACGTACGATACTTATGTACATGTTGATAAATTTCTAATTTTCTTCTATGATGAAAGAAGAAAGCTGAGGAATGGACTAATAGTTCATCTTTCAACTTTACTGTAATTAATCTAAAAAAAAATGAAAGAAGTTAACCAAATTTTCGATTAACTTCTTGATTATGTGAAGTTATAATGAAAGCTGATTAATATGAATTGGTATCTTCAAAGCATTACTCGTATATCCTGGGACCATTGAGTAAGCAATGCTATTGTCAAGAAGCGGGATACTGGGCGAGGATTGCACATCAGTTGATGAAGTATTGAAACTTCATCAGTTGACGTGGCTGGGGCATGTGTTACGTATGCCCAACCACCGACTGCCTCAACGAGCGATATTTTGTGCTGTAGAGGTAGGCTGGAAGAAAGCTAAGGGTGGTGGCCGAACCAAAACATGGCAGATATCCATGAAGTCCATTAAACTGAGTCATGTTAGTAAGGGGTAGATTACCTGATTCGGGTTCCCGAGATGATAGTAATCGATGGTTAGAGACCTTAAATGACATGAGTAAAAAATCGTTTGTAATGGTGCAGATGCATTTGTTCTTTGTGCTGACTCAAATTCTAATCTTCTGAATTCCCCATAACTTTTATCTTTTTAAGTTTATTTCACTGGATCATATCATATCTTCTATCTTTAATCTTTTACATTACTGTTTATACTTCTACTACTATGGAATTTGAATTGACATTTCGATCTCTTTGTGCTAATGTGGTATGACAACTTGAACTGATTTACGTAGGTACGTTTGTACAAAGTTCTATTTTGCAGCTGAATGAGACTGACTAATTATATGGTATTGTATTTTTAATACAATTTGAAAAGTAGTAATGAATTGTCGTCATTCTATGATTGTTGTGGAGATTTTTGAGTTTCATTGAAATTATGAATCAATTAATGGCTAGAGCACCACTGTTGGATACTTGAAAGCAAAACCGAAGGTCGTCGGTTCGGTTCCCGCTCGCTTGATTATGAATGTGCACTGTGATGAGTCCTATATTCGGATGAAACGGTTCATCAGTATTTGCTAGTTTCTATTAGTAGTTTAACACTGATCGATTCAAGGTTTCAATGAAACAATGAATTCATAGGATTTTAGAAGGTGGTTGTGAACATATTTTTATCCTAATTTGAGTGATTTTGAACCATATCCCAACCAAGTAGTCTACATCTATATCAATACTTCTCGAATTGACGGAGTGATATCATATTTCAGTTGTACTACCCCTCGTACACTCTATGCAACATCATGTATCAAAGTGGGTTAGTTTATGGTTTGGGCATATTATCAGTCAGTCAACAACAACAACTACATGGAACTTCGTACGTACGTACATCAGTTCAAGTTGCCATACCACATTAGCACACAAAGATGCAATTGTCAATTCAAATCCCATGGTAGTAGAGGTAGTAATAGTATTAGTAGTAATTGGAGAGATTACGGTTTCGACGATATTATTCAAGGAGTAGAATCTAGTAAAATAAATTCAGAAGGTTAGAATTTGAGAGAATACAAAGAGTGGATGCACCTGCGATATTGCAAACGGTTTTGAGCCATGTCATTCAAGGTCTCTAACCATCGATTATTATCATGCGGACCCCAACCAGGTATAGTCGACACCTACCAATATGATTCAGTCCACTTGTCAGTGCTATGTTTTGGTTTGACCGTTTCTAGTTTTCTTTCAGTTTACTGTTACATCACAAAATATCGCTAAACGAAGCAGTCAATGGTTGAGCATACATAACACATATCCAAACCACCTTAACTGATGAAGTTTCAATACTTCATCTATTGATCTGCCATCCCTATCTAGTACTCGTCGCCTAATGGCAGCATTGCTTACTTGGTTGTTCCAGAATACATGAGCAATGCTTCTAAGACCATCCATGATCAAATACTAATAACCTACGAATGCTCGTACACTCTATACAACATAACACATCTAGGTGGATTAGCCTACAATAAACAATAAACTTATATCATGCTTATTTTATTATCTATTATCTAATTGCAATTACTTAATCATTTTGATTAACTTTAACTGAATACAATGAATTAATCATTTTTTTATTTTATTATTTTCTAGCTGGTTCAATGACCCCAACTGAACCTGTCATGCCTATTGCCTCATCTTCATCATCATCATCATCATCATCATCATCAATAGTAGAACAACGTGAAATTGAAGCATTTCAACGTATCATGTCTGAACGACTTGAATATTTAAGAAATATTACAAATCTTCATCAACAACAACGTACTCTAACCCCAATGGAACAAAATTATCAACAACAACAACAGCAGCAACAACAGCAACAACACCAACAACAACAACAAGAATTGTTAGCTGCTGCGCTTTCAGCTGAAATGGCTTCAAGACTTGAAAATATGTCTACAATGTATCCAAATCCAGATTATTTATTCCCATTACCGTCATCATCTTCATTTAATTTATCAATTAATAGTGAAAGTAACGGTGCCATGACATCGGCAGTGAATAGTATCTCTACTCGACCTACAGCATCTGTACAATTGCCACAAAATACACGTTTTCCACAAACATCATCTCAATGTTGTACACCATCAGGATTATTATTATTGAATGCACGTTTTCCTTCGAATCAATCAGATATTCATAGTATGAATAAAACACCACCAATGGCACATCATAATAATTCTTCTTCCTACACTGCTACATCTCGTGATATTTCTGTCAATTTCAATGTAAATAATTCAGTTATGTCATTGAATAATAATAATAATAATAATAATATGGTGGCCCCACCTGCACCACCACCACCTCCTACTGCTACTACTAATACTACACGTGTTCCACCACCTTTACCGCATATACCGTATAGTAGTACACCTGGAACTACTGGTCGATCGACCAATCGTAATTCATTCAATAATAATAATACTAGTAGTAGTAGTAGTAATAATAGTCAATCTGTATCATCGAATTTTCAAGAACAAGTATTCAATGCTGCTAAATTGGCTATGATGGCTGGTAAGTTCAATTGTTTATGCATTCAACTAAGGTTGGTAGTCTCTACACACATTGTTCAGAAAAAAAATTCAAAAAGTTCAATGATTAGTGAATTATTGTAGTGTAGTGGTATAGTGGTGGTATAGCTCTGTCAAGTATTCCATATTCTACTATTTGATAGATAGTTGATACATAATTTACTTTCGCCTGTTACCCTCAATGAAGCATAGGCCGCCGACCAGTATTCTTCAACCTACTCTGCCCTGACCCTCCCCTTCCAGTTCTATCCAATTGTTGTTGTTCATTCATATCATATCTGTTTCGATTTTGTCGGCGTAATGTGTTCCTTGGCCTTCCTCTTTTCCTTTGACCCTCGGGGTTCCATAGTGAGAACGTGTCTTGTGATGCATTTAGGTGCTTTCCACAATGTGTTGTCCTATGCAATTCCAGCGCTCCTTTCTGATTTCTTCTGCTGAGATCCGGTTTGCTCTTCCCGACAGTAGGTTGTTGCCGATGGTTTCTGGCCAATGAATCTGAAGTATTTTGCATTCCAGATATTGTTGAGTTATAGAAATGCTGTCCTTACTTTGCCGATGAGCACCTTTACATTTGCTTCAAATCCACTGTGTTCATCAATTTCGCTGCCGAAATATGTAAAGGTTTTTACATTTTCCATATCTTCACCGTCAAGTGTGATTCAGTTGGTACATGTTCTGTTGTATCGGAGAATCTTGCTTTTCCCTTTTATGTATGTTGAGACATATTGCTACACTGGTCATCTTCTCTTGCATTTGTTGTTGTGTGTACTATAGGACAGTCATATCATCCAGCTGTATCCTAGCTGCCCATAGGAATTACTAAAAGTTGGTTTTAAATTATCCTACTGATCTAAATCAATCACAAGTATAACATGAACAGCAGGACAAATGGGTTGTGAAGAGATTGTTGAGTTTCATTTAAATCATCAATTGATTAATGGTTAGACCAGTATTGGGAACCTGGAAGCATGACCAAAAAGTCGTCGGTTCGATTCCCGCTTGCTGATGAGTAGTTCCATACTAGGATGAAACGGTTGTCCAGTGCTTGCAGGTTTCTACTGGTAGTGGTCTAAAATTGATCTATTGATGATTTTAAAGAATAAATTTATGGAAGAAAATGTTGGTTTTCACTTAATCACACTAAAATTTATGGTATTTATTCAACTTATTGACCAAGTTTTAAGGGTTATAAGATGAATTTATCATTCTGTTGTAATTGTTGAAAAAAAATACCAAACAACTTTTTCAGTATTACTCTGTTGTGTTCAAGAGGAATTTCAATGATTTCACAGAGGTTAAGCATTCGCGCTGAAGACCAAAGGTCCTGGGCTCGAATCGTGCGAGTAGCAAGAGTCGTGCAATGCACACTGACACTGGATGAGTCTCGTACCAGGACGAAACGGCCATCTTTCAGTGCCTCCAGGTTTCTAATGATGGTGGTCTAACAATGATTCATTCATGATTTCAAAAAGTAACTCAACAGTATCCACAACCCCATAATAGAAATTGCCTGGCTTCATAGTGATTAGTTCTGTGAGCAGTCTTCTCCGAGTTCTAATAAGAAGTCATGACCATAGGAGTTTAACTTCGTTAGAGGGTGTGAAGCAGTGCTGACTGAAGACACTATATGAGGTTGCACAAGACCGTGAATTGAACGGAGTTAGACATGAACACCATTAGATATCGGCTCAGTGGTGATGATAAGTTGATAACGTATTGGTTTTTAAAGCATAACGTATTGAATTTGAATCTTATGAGTTCAGGTGTGTTCAGTTAATGAGTCCGAATATAGAACGAATCGATGCATATCCTGCATTCTACCGTTCATCACATTTTACCTATTCAGTATCTACTTGACTTTGTTTATGTAAGTTAGATATCAACTTGTAATAATAATAATAATAATAATAATAATAATAATAATTATTATTATTATTATTATTATTATTATTATTATAACAAAACTCAAACATTTTGATCATAACTTTTTTTTAGCGAATATGCAATCTGATCCAAATAAGGCATTAACATTTGCAAGTTTAGCTGCTGCAGCTTTCACTGAAATGGCATCTTCATCATCATCATCATCGTCGCCATCATCACAGGATAAAAAGTTACCTTCACGTAATAATGATCATTCTTCATTATCAGCAGCATCTCATCATTCATCATTGTCTGGAATACAAGAGAATTTATCCCAAAGAAATCTCAATATTCCAACATCCAATATGCGATTACGTTCTCCTGTCAATAATGGTGGCCAGTACAATTCCGATTTTAATAATACTAATAGCATGCCTACTACTCCTTCAAATGTAGTAATGTCGAATTTTGCAAATCAGAATACTACACCTAAAGAAAGACGACGTCAAAATGCTCATTTAACTTCCAGTAATGTTGGTGGCGGAGGCGGTGCAGCTTCTCAGCCATCAAATCGTTTACAATCTCCACCTGTACATTATTCACATTCAGAATCTCGATCATTTGGTAATAACAATAATTATAGTAATAACAACAATCGTACACCGATTCCAACAGCAGCAGCAGCTAATCGTATGCATCCATCACAGTCCGGTAATAATGATGCTGTTACATTTGGTTCAACAGTACCTGGTGTTGCTAGTGGTGCTGGTGGTGGTCTACCTGCTCCAGCACAACTAGCACAATTAGCCCAGCTTGCTCAAATGTCAGGACTTCCACCTGGTTTTTCATTTCAGGTAAGTAATTCTCTTTGGTTCTATATGTGTTATGGATTTTTGTTATATTCATCCTGCTTGTGTCAGTCGGTCAGTCAGTTCACAACGTAGAACTTCTTACGTACGTACATCGGTTCAGGTTGCCAAACTAGATTAGCACACGGAGAGATGGGATTTTCAGTTCAAATCCCATAGTGGTAGCAATAGTAGAAGTATTACCGGTAATGGAGAAGATTAGTGAGCGAAGATATAATTTGAGATGTGTAATTCAGTGAGATAAATTTAGAAAAAGAAAAGTTAGATATGATGGGGAATTCAGAAGTTTAGAATCTGATAGAAGACAGACAATGTATGTACCTGCGCCATTGCAAACTATTTTGAGTCATGATGTTATTTAATGTCCCTAACCATCTTTTACTATCGTCTCTCAGACCCCAACCAGGTAAATTGATGCTTCGATTCAATAAAACTTAATCACATCAGTCAGTCGTTATTAACTTCAAGTCTGGTAAAAATGTACTTTTTCTCCGTATAACCTATTCATATGACTAGATGTAATTCGACAGTCGATAAATAAGAAAAGTTGTCTAACGCATGTCACCTCAAGTCAACTATCACTAATCGTACGGGGACCTCTTAACCAACACCGGAACTGATGCAATGCCTTTAGTTTACTTACCACTCCTAGCTCTTTCTTCTAACCAACTTTTTTAGCAGCAAACGTCATTCATCGAGGTTGTTAGATGTACAAATGTAATGCGTATCCTAACTATCTCAAGTGATGAAAATCTACTACTCCGCCAATTCATTTCTTACCTCTTTTTAGTAGTAAGTATACAGCGTTCAACTTTCAACGCACTGATCGCTTAATTGTTCTATGAAATGAATACCGTGTTTCGAAAATACCTTTGATCGTAAGTCTACAGTTTACGCAACTTGAACTGAAGTACGTACGTACGAAGTTCTACGCTGTAGCTGACTGACTGAATGGCAAGTCGGTGTGTGTCCGCCGACTCTTTCTGAAGTTGAAAAATCCATAAGGAATTTGAAGCGAGAGAAAGCAGCGGCTCCTGATAGGTGACATTTTTAGACTTTTAAGGATGTCGGTCCAGTTTTAGCAGTTAGATTGACTGAGATCTTAAGTAGGATTTAGGAACTGGGCGTAATCTCATCCAACTGGTCCTCAATCCTTGATTGTCCCAGTCCTTTTGTGACAATCACAGAGGAATCAGTTTAACTAATACTGCATCTAAAATATTGGCCTCAATAATACTCAGATGCCTAACTAGAGCTCGTGAAGAACAGACTAGAGAAAATCGGGCTGGTTTCAGACCTAAACGTGGATGTATAGACCAGATATTGACACTACGTCAGGTCCTAGAACATAGACATTCTTTCCGACGCCCCACAATATGTATTTCTCGATCTTAAAGCGGCATTCGACTCTGTGGATAGTGAGGTTCTATGGCAGTGTCTCTCATTAAAAGCTGTACCAACGGAATACATTAACCTTAGACGGGCTCTCTCCTCAAACACCACTGGTCGAGTTAGATCTTATGGCGAACAGTCATCAGATTTCATTACTGCATGTGGTATTCACTAGATTATACTTCTTTAATAATATCTTCGAATACTAATCTCTCGGATTACTGCTAATACTTCTACTACCTCGACTACTATCGGATTTAAATTGACAATTGCATCTCTGTGTGCTAATTTGGTATGGCAACTTGAACTAATGTACGTACATACGAGGTTCCACGTTGTAACTGACTGACTGAAAAACGTGTTGCATGTTACATCTAATTTCAATGACACTGAGGAAGTGGATTTTCAAACACACTAGAATATATAGTTAATTATAAGTTATCATTCTCTTTATTTTTATTTGATTCAATCACCATTTTTTTTTGTTTGTTTTATGATATAAACACCTTATTTTACAGGATCCAGCAGTTTTGAATGCTTTTGCTTTGGCTGCAGCAGCAACGTCTTTAGTGGCGAATGGTAGTGGCGGCGGCGGCGTTGGCGGCGCCAACAGCGCTAATCATTTCGATTTACTTGCAGATATCAATGTATCAGCAAACCCGGTCGATCGATATCGATCACCTGTTCCATCGTATACATCTCCACATCAACAACAACAACAACAACGTTATCCTCCTATTAACAATGCACAATCACAGCAGCAGCAGCAGCAACAACAACAACAACAACAAAAAGCGGCAGCTGCTGCCGCCGCCGCAGCAGCAGCAATGGCTAATGCTTTCGGTTTACAAAACTTACCAAATCAATTTAATTCACGATGATCATCACAACCGCTGTAATCAGCAGTTGCAGCAACAACAACAACAACAACAGTGTGTAACAAATTAGGAGAATCATTACTTTAAATATACTATTACTTACTGGACCGATCATCATCATCATCATCATCATCAGGTCATTTATAGAAAAGAAATTTCTCTTATAAAATTTTACATGATGAATTATATTTGTATGAAATTGTGTTGTGTAAATAACAGTTTGTTCTCTCTCTCTCTCTCTGTCTCCTCCTCCTCCTCCTCCTCCTCCTCCCTGTTCCTAATTTTTTTTAATTGTGTGTAGTTCACCTGCTTCTTTTATTTTCTTTTATTTATTGTATTGATTATTTTTTATTGTCAAACAAATGAAATCACTAATGATGTGTATACACTTACTACTACTACTACTAGTACTAGTACTACTTGTTATTATCTCAGACTAAGTAAGTAACATGATGAGAAGGCGAAGAAGAAGAAGAAGACTGACTGGTAAAGAATACACAATTGATCGATGCTGTCTACCACACATAGATGTACGTACACAACATGTGTTGTTGGTATTTATCTGCATGACTGCATTGTTCTATAATACTGGGGCGCATGCACTTTGATCATTCAAACAAAACAGAACCACAATAATAACAACAACAACACTGATAACTCTAATCATTTATTCAATTCAGTGAAAATTAACTTGGAATTCATACTTTATTCATTCATTCATTCATTGATTCATGCATTCATTCATTCATTCATTGTATATGTGAAAACATTCTTGTTGTGACATCTCTTTTCTGTCTCTCTCTCTCTCTCTCTTTGTATGTGTGTGTGTGTGTGTGGAGTGTTTGATATATATATATATATATATTTATAATGAATAATTTTTGCCTTTTAAAAAAAACTAATAAGGAATGAATAATAATGATCATGTGTGTTGCGTAGTTTGTTTTATTCTTCATTTTTTCTTTTTTAAACAAAAGAATTCATTCTACTGCATCTACTGCCGCCCCTCGTCCTCTACTATTACTACTACTACTACTACAACTACTACTTTTTTTATTACATACATATACTACTACTACTCTTATATATAATGTGAACTTATATTATGCTTATTTAATCATGATAATATAATATACATATGAAGTAGTAGTATTATTTATTATGTCAGTTTTATGTTTCATGTTGAAGTAATAAACATTGCGGTAGTAAGTAGAGTAGAGTAGAGTAGAGTTAGAGATAGAGTAATAAGTTTAGTCAACTAGATACTGAGTAATTTGTTTATGGTCAATCCTAAAAATGCCGCCTCACGGATTTCCGTCTCCGGTGGTAAGTGTGCCCACTGAGGGCTTATAAGAGCGGAGCTAAAACTTGAAGAACCTTTGATAAAATGGCCGTGCGTGACCGGCCTGAGGCAGTTGCCCTGAGGTCACACTCCTAGGTCGTTAAGACCAACACTAATCTACTTTCGTTTTCAGGTCCCTCAAGAAACAACCTTCAACGGTGTGGGCAGCCGGGAAGTGACAAACGCCCCCATACCCGCAACAGCATGCGAGACCAAATTGGTCACAATCAAATCCTTCCTACACCCCCTATTATCTCTCTTATCTCTACGACTGACTCTTGTCACATTCATTTATCATCCCGCACCGCTAATGCAAACGATGTGAGTTCACGAAATGTCATTCCTGGTCTACTGAAACCTCGTTCTAAATTACATATTGGAGCATTTAATGTACAGACATTGTGTCAAATAGGAAAACAGGCTTCCTTAGTTAGGACTTTAGAATCTCACGCCATAAATGTATACTGAATCTCAGAAATGCACTTACAGGATCCGAGTAACGTCATTCACTTGACTTCTACATGTCAAGATAAAGAAGCAACTCGTTTCACTCTTCGCGTATCTGGAAGCCCTAATGCTGCTTCCCGCGGTCTCGCTGGTGTAGGTGTAGCAATGAGTCGTAACTCTAGCTCTCCTAGACTGGGTTCCAGTAGATAGTCGCTTGTGCGCTGTCAGATTAAACGGAACAGTAAGGACTCGGAAGGATAGGGACACTCGCCGTTGCCTCTTCGTCGTATCTGCTTATGCCCCCACTGACTGCAGTTCAGACGAGGTGAAAGATGAGTTTTACAGAAAGCTTTCGCACCTCCAAAAAGCTAGGCGCACTGACATAGTATTAATGGCTGGTGACTTTAATGCTCAGGTAGGTAGACTAAGTGAAAAGGAAAGACACCTGGGTTGATGTTATGGAGAACAGACAATGGTGACCGTCTGTTGCAAGTATGCTCAGATAACCGCCTATTCTTAGCAAACACTAACTTTAGGCATAAGGAAAAGCATCTGTGGACCTGGCGACCTCCGAAGTCATCACAACGCTGGACTCTACTAGATCACATCTCTATCAGCCATCGATGGAAGACGAACTGATGGACGTACATACGAAGTTTTACCTTGTATCTGACTGGCAAATATCATACCTGTTGTAAAATTGGGTGGTCATTTGGAATCAGTAGTTCATCGGTTAGCGGGTTAGGGCGTGGAATGGTGGAATCGACCTCCGGCATGAAATATCAAAATTGGTACGTAGGCTCTAAAAAGGGAATTGCAGGCGTCCTGTCTCCCAACGTTAGTCCTAGACAATCTATCCTATAAACACATGGTAAAATGGTTACATGAAGGGAATGCGCACAGGAAGCACATGTATCACTAAAATTCAGAACTAACAATGGGGTAACACTAATATTTTTAATAATGTGATCAATGTGATAAAATGTGAGTCTTTCACTGAGATTTACATTTATCAATATGGTGCTAGTCTGAAATCGTTCATATAGACACATTGTGTATCCATGAGCAGCATATTGATATAAAATATTCCGCACGAAGAAAAGTAAAAGTGGACTGATTACCTTGCCAGTCAGTCAGCTACAACGTACAACTTTGTATGAAAGTACATCAGTTCAGGTTGCCATACCACATTAGGACAGAGACGCAATTATCAATTAAAATCCTATATTGGAAGAGGTAGAATTATTAGCAGCAATCGAAAAGATTAAGAAGTAGAGTCTACTGAAATAAACCTACAAAGAAAAGGTGATAAGGAATACAGAAGGTTAAGATCTGACTGCGTCGTCGCAAACAGTTTTGAGCCATGTCATTCAAGGTCTCTAAGCATTGGTAACTTACGTCTCGCAGACCCTAAACAGGTAGCCTACACCTACCAACATGACCTAGTCCTCCTGTTAGTGATTTCATGGATTTCTGCCATGTTTTGGTTTGGCCGCCCCTAACTTTCTTCCAACCTACTCCTACACCACAAAACATAGATCGTCGAGGCAGTCAGTGGTTAGACATACGTAACATATGTCCCAACCACCTCAACTGATGGAAATTCATTATTTCATCATTTGATCCGCCATCCCTAGCCAGTACTCGTTTCCTAACGACAGCATTGTTTGCTTGTCCCAAGATACACGAGCAATGTCTCGAAGACATCTATAATCGAATACTAATAACCTACGAATGTCCTCTACTCTGACCGGCCATTCTTGCCATTCAGAAAGACTGGGGATCAAGGGTAACCGAAGTGTGGCTGAACGCCAGTTGAACTGATCCCTCAAGTGTTCTGTCCATTGATCCAATCTCTTGGATTGAGAATGAATGATACATCCATCCTTTCCTTAGATAGTTTCGCTAACAGAAGGATTTCTAACACAGGTTTCCTTTATAAGGTGGGAAAGTTGTATACTGTTGCCTATCGCCGCTGCCTTTTCCATCGCTTTTGCTTTCGCCGCCCACCACTGTTCACGGTCGTTGCGTCAGTCAGTCAGATGCAACGTAGAACTTCGTACGTAAGTAAATCAGTTCATGTCGCCATACCACATCAGCACAGAGAAGTAATTGTCAATTCAAATCCAATAGTATTAGAGGTAGTAAGGATATTAGAAGTAATCGGAGAGGTTAGGATTAGAAGATACTATTCAAGAAGTATGATTAAATGAGATAAGTTTAGAAAGTAAAAGCTAGAGGTGTTGAAGAACCCAGAAGATTAGGATTTGAGAGAACACAAAGAATAAATGCACTGGCGCCATTGCGAGCGATTTTGAGCCATGTCATTCGAGGTCTCTAATCATCGATTACTATCATCTCGCGGACCCCAACCAGGTAGTCGACAATTACCGACATGGCTAAGTCCACTCGTCAATGACTTCATGGATTTATGCCATGTTTTGGTTTGGCCGCCCCTAGCTTTCTTCCAACCTACTCCTACACCACAAAATAAAGCTCTTCGAGGCAGTCGGTGGTTCGGCATACGCAACACATGTCCCAACCACCTCAACTGATGAAGTTTCACCACTTCATCTATTGATCTACCATCCTTACCTGGTACTCGTTTCCTAACGACAGCATTGCGAACTCGGTTGTCCCACGATATACGAGCAATGCTTCGAAGGCACCTATGATCGAAAACCAGTAACCTACGAATATCTTCTACTCTCATTGGCCATGTTTCACAGCCATATATGTGAACGGAGCGAACTGCTGCACAGTACACTCGTCCTTTGATTCGAGAACGGATATCACGCCAACGCCATAAGTGACGCAGGTTGGCAAAAGCCAATCGAGCCTTCTGTATCCGTGCTGAGATTTTGTCAGTCACCAGGCCATCGGCACTGATGAGACTCCCAAGATAAGTGAAGCGGTCTACACGTTCGACTACTTCACTCCCTATCACTAGTTCAGGTGTCGATGCAACCAGGTCTTGAAGCAACATTTTGCATTTCGAGGGGGAAAACCGCATCCCGAACATGCTTGCATTGTTGCTTAGGGTAGTCAGAAGACTCTGCATTTTGTTAGCGTCTTCACCAAGTAGGACAATGTCATCGGCATATTCTAAGTCAATAAGCGAGCCACTTGGTAGAAGGTCTACTCCTGAAAGTTCAGACGAGGATAAAGTTATTTCTTGGAGCATGTCTATGATAAAATTAAACAAGAATGGAGAAAGTGGACATCCCTGACGGACACCACTTGATGTAGAGAATTCCGGTGACAGTTCGCCATAAGCTCTCACTCGACCAGTGGTGTTCGAGCAGAGTGCTTGTATAAGGTTAATGTACTTCTTTGGTACACCTCTCACTGACAGACACTGCCACAGAACCTCACGATCATCAGAGTCAAATGCCGCCTTAAGGTCTAGGAAAACAACTATTGTAGGACGCCTAAATGTGTGTCTATGTTCCAGGACCTGTCTGAGTGTGAAGACGTGGTCTATACAGCCACGTCCAGGTCGAAAACCAGATTGGTTTTCTCGAGTCTGCTCTTCCCGAGCTTTCGTTAAGCGTCGAAGTATTATTGAGGCCAATATTTTAGATACTATATTAGTTAGACTTATTCCTCTGTGATTGTCACAAGAAGACTTTTGTCCTTTCTTATAGATTGGGACAATCAAGGATTGAGACCAGTCGGATGGGATTGGGTCCAGTTCCCAGATTCTACCTAAGATCTCAGTCAACCTAGCTGATAAAACTGGACCACCATCCTTAAATATCTCAGGGGTCAGTCTATCAGGACCCGCAGCTCGTCCTCGCTTCAGATTCCCTAACGCTTTTTCAATTTCATTAAGACTAGGGGGACCTACGTCGATTTGCCATTCAGGATGACTGGAGATCGTGGGTAACCGAAGAGTGGCTCGAGGCCAGTTGAACTGACCCCTAAAGTGTTCTGCCCATCGATCCAGTCTCCTGGATTGAGAACAAATAATAATCCCATCCTTTTCCGAGATAGTCTCACTCACATTCGGGTTCTTAGTACCAGTTTCTTTAATAAGGCGGAAAAGTTGTCTACTGTTGCCTATCGCCGCTGCCTTTTGCATCGCTTTTGCTTTCGCCACCCACCACTGTTCGCGATCGTTACGTAGGCTTTTTATAAGTCTGCGCCTAAGCTGACTACGCTCTTCATCATGCTCAGAGTCAGGTGGGATGCGTTTTCGAGCATCCATCAGTTCGGTGGATGCTACTGAGATCCACGGCTTCATTCTACCTTACTAACAGATATCACTGCTCTTTCCACAGCCTTTTTGATATCATTCCATTCTGCTTCCGGATGGGGATCGATTAAATGGTCGCCTAACTGTCTTTCTAGTTGTTCCTGAAATATATTCTTCGCCTTATTATCATTAAGTAAAACCCTAAGAGGCTTTCTTACGGTGTCTTTCCTACGTCCAGTAAGCCTCAAACAAATACGCGCTCGCACTAGGGCATGATCTGAATCCAAACATGTGCCCCAGAACGAGCGACAGTCCTCTATCGAACCCCTCCATCGGTGGCTGATGGCGATGTGATCTAGTTGAGTCCAACGTTGAGACGACTTCGGGGGTCGCGACACCATAACATTCACCTAGATGTCTTTCCTTTTCACCTAGTCTACCTACTTGAGCATTAAAGTCACCAGCCATTATTACTATATCAGAGCGCCTAGCTTTTGGAGGAGGTTCGAAAGCTTTCTGTAAAACTCATCTTTAACCTCGTCTGAACTGCAGTCAGTGGGGGCATAAGCAGATACGACGAAGAGGCAACGACGTGTGTCCCAATCTTCCCGAGTCCTTACTGTCTCGTTTGGTCGGACAGCGCGCAAACGACTATCTACTGGGATCCAGTCTAGGAGAGATAATTCTGCCCTAGGACTCAACGCTATGCCTACGCCAGCAAGACCCCGGGAAGCAGCATCAGATCTTCCAGATAAACGAAGAGTAAATCGAGCTGCTTCTTTATTTTGAAAAGGTGAAATCAGATTAATAATTTTACTAGGATCCTATATGCGCGTTTCCGAGACGCAGCATACATCGGTGGCAGGAGATTCTAAAGTCCTAGCTAATGATGCCTGTTGCCCTATTCGACATAATGTCCGGACACAATGCTCCAACATGTAGTTTAGAATGAGGTTTCAAGAGACCAGGAATGACGTTTCATGAACTCGCATCGTTTGCATTAGCGATGCAGTCAGATAAGGGAATGTGAGTAGAGTTAGTTGTGGAGAGAAGAGAGGTATGTGTGGGTGTAGGAAGGATTTGATTTCAACCAATTTGGTCTCTCGTGCTGTTACGGGTATGAGGGCGGTTATCACTTCCCGGCTGCCCACACCGTGCAAGGTTGTTTCTTGAGGGACCTGAAAAGGAAGAAAGATTAGTGCTAGTCTTGGAGACCTGGGAGCGTGAACGCAGAGTCCAAGGGACAACTGCTTGAGGCCGGTCATGCACGGCCTTTTTACGAGGTGTTTTGAGTATTAGCTCCGCTCTTAAAGGCCCTTAGTGGGCACCCTTACCCAAGGAGACGGAAATTCGTGAGGTATGGTGAGGTGTGACATTTTTAGGGTCAACCTTTTCTAACCCTTCCTTCCTTGTGAGAAGGCAGCATCGCTGCAGATGCTGGTTGTCCGAGGGAAACACCTTACTGCTGTCACACCCCTCTGCAGTCAGCAGTACGACTTCGCCCTCAGACCTTGGGTAGCTGCTTTTAGTCTCATCGTTCTCCAATCGACCTGCCTGGTATGGTAGGACCTGCAGGAACATATGTTCCAACCAGTATAGCTCGGATGGGTCATCACGATAGGCAAACCCGACCACCACGTCAAGGTAGCAGCTACGGTCGGTATATAAACTCACGGTGTCCAAAAACTATAACCACAAGATACTGGTTGATGTGCTAAGTTTCCTACAGATGAATACTAACTTTATTACAAATTAACTATATCAGCAATTTACACCTTGGTGTTACTACTCACCACCTAGTGCTAGTATTTTACATTAATCTGTGACTACTAATAAGACTGATGTACTCTAATCAAATGTCTGAATTTGTGATCATTATAGTTACCTGTCTACATTATCTGAAGTAAATATAAGCTTTATAATGATTCTAATGAACACGTGCAGATTGGATATCTACATATGATATCTGAAAGGTCTGTAAACCTTTTACTCAATGAACTGATAACTAAGAGATGTAAATCACTTGCTCACTTACTTACCAGGATCTTATAAAGATATAATTCTTATCTTATAATTACATGTTGAAAGCAAATATTACACACATATCTGGTTGGCAGAGACAAAGTGTTTGAGTGGAGAAAACGAGATAAAGTTACAGCAGGACCATCATTAGGGTTAATAGTGTGCCATGTCTAACTGTCTCAAGCCATTGAGTCGTATCATTTCTAGGAATGCAACCAATGAATTGTCAAGGGTCAACATATACCAGTTCTGTACAGCTTTATTTCATACCATGCTCATCATGCCATACAAGGATCACACTTCACTTATTCCAACTAGTCGCACGGTTGGCAAATAATACAAGATATGAAATTCGCTGGGATGATATTCGTAATCCATGTCGAAGCCTCAGAAGTCAGTGGTGTTATCTTTATACTTAAATCTTATAAGATCAGGCTTGGTACAACTGTCTGGTCACTCATATTATAAGTCAATATACAACTAGATTTCGTAAAAGTACTAACACCAGGAATTGCGCTTGGCTGATAGTAGATGTTTATCATCTAACCGAAATCTACACTATAAAAATACTGTGAATAACTAATTGGTGATGGAATCTTCTAAATAAACGTGAACTTGAAATTTACGTATGAATGCAAAACACCATCTCATTGCTCACTTTTCGTTGGCTGTCTAAGAAGCAGGTAGCACTATATGAAATGAGATTATGTTAGACTAGAATCTAGAAAATATGCAGATAAGGAAAACTGATCGTATATGGTGACTACTTAGCATGTCATTTGTGTAACAATTCAGAATATATTTCGGTTATAAAATATTCCGCATACATTCTGCGGAATAACGATAAAGATATTTGTTAATATCCAGAACCCAGTAGACTTGGATTTTGTTAACCAAGTTTTGTAGTGATATGAACTAACTCAGTCGTTTACAAACGCTAGTATTAGTTCTGTCAGTAAATGAAAACCCGGAAAACACATAAGATGTATTTGATTGTTATAAAAGTAGCTTGTCGCAATAGATCCCCGTCAAAATTTAATAATACAACTGTCAAAATTGGTAACTATATCCAACAATTCACACAAAGATACAAACCAAACCTCCTGTTTTATGTATATGTACAACACAGTATTTGGGATAATGTATCAACATAAAAAAAGGTACATAAACAACGGTAGTAATCAGATGTACAAAAATTTTAAAAAAGTATAAGAAATATACATGAGTTTTGAAATAACGTCAGTTTGAATAAATACTCTAACTTTTCACTCCGATTTAGTCCTTTTACTACGTACATAATTTGTTGCTTGACTTCCTACATACCGTAACGACTTGATGCAAAATGATATTAGGAAGTAAAACGTGGCCAATAGTATAAAGAATACCCAAGCTATCAGGAACCAGGCGAACCACGTGAACTCCACATACTGAGACATCTCTGGATCGTCCAAGGTCATTACATATAGATCCAATATCCAATATCTTTTTCACGAGCTAGTGTAAACCAATTTGATTTCTTCGCGCTCGATTCTTCTTCTTTCGGTACGGTTCCAGGTGTTCGGTAGTGTTCAATAGATGGAGGTCTAGCCACTCGACTGTCTAATTCTAGTCAGTTGGCAGTTGGTTGTGAGTTTGTATGTCTCGGGATTTAAATGAAACGTTTGTTTCAGGGCAGTAGGGTTTCTGGATACTAGCAGCCGTCACATTACCAAACCGGAGATCAGTTAGTTGCAATGTGGAGAGTAATCAGGATAATAATGATAAAATTCTAATGCTAATATGAATAAAATTTCAGAACTGAGTAATATATAGATGAATTTAGTTTGTTAATTGGTAGTGAAAATTAAGAGAGAGGACCGAATTGTAAGCAAGGGAGAGGAAACAGAGATAATAGGCGAGATAGATTAATTGAGTGATCTGAGAAGATGGCAATAGTAACAACTAGCAGGTCTCAAGATATGCATCAGGCACAGCTTGTCCAAGAGGGAGATGATAGTCCGCATGTGGGTACGTGATTATCAAGTCTCTTCTTAAAGCAGTCCACTGAGGGGGCTGTAACTACCTCGGCTGGGAGAGCATTCCAAGTTGCGACGACTCGCGATGAGAAAAAGTGTGCACGAATCTGAGTATTCGCTCTCTGGTGTGCAATCTTTCGAGGATTGCCTCGAGGGGAGTTGTGGTGATGCATCGGTAAGATGCTCATATTCGGATGGTTTGGCGTGTTTAATATGGTGTACGCCGTAATCAGGTCACCTCTGATTCTCCTGTAGCTCAGTGGAAATAATCCCAAGAGCTGGAGTCTATCGTCGTAGGGTTTATTTTTCAACCCTATCACCCATTTCGTTGCTCGTCTCTGCACTCGATCCAAGAGATTTATGTCTCTTTTAAGCAGAGGGGGCGCGATGACGTTGTGAACCTCCAAGTGTGGGCGAGCGTACGTCTTAAACAGGGTTAAAAATAATTGCGGGGTGATAGCACCAAGCTGTCTTCGCATAAAGTGAAGATTCGCACTTGCCTTGGCTGCATCCCCTACGTAGTCTGGACTGGTGTGGAGGCTTTCTGTGGTTATTAAACCAAGATCGCACTCTGAGGAGACATTAGGGAGCGGACTTCCACTGAGAGTGTAGGTGGTTTGCGTCAAATGAGGCAGGAAATGCATGACGTGACACTTCGGTTGGTTGAGTTTTAAACCCTTTTCCACTACCCATTTCTCAATAGATGTAAGGTCCTTTTGAATCTCAGTCGAATCCTCTTCGCTTCTAATGGGCCTCCAGATCTTCGCATCATCTGCGTAGATCAATGCCGATGAGCTGACTGAGCCTAGCAGGTCGTAAATATCAGGAAGAGGAGTGGGCCTAGGATGGTCCCCTGTGAAACTCCCGAAGTGGACGCACTCCAGCTCGCGTGAACTCTGTTTACCTTGGTGCGAAACTTTCTATTCTCAAGATAGTTTCTGAGTCAAGATAAGAGTGGGTCAGCGAAGCCCATTTCCACAACCTTTTCGATTAGGCGTGCGTAGCGTACTGTGTCAAAGGCTTTTGCGAAGTCGATAAATACTACGTGCACTGGTATTTTACGGTCCAAGCAGGATGTTCAATTGTCCCGTGCGATGAGGAGATTAGATGCACGCGACCTGCCTTTCCGAAACCCGTGTTGAGCTTCATGGAGTATTTTATTCTTATCCATGTACTCCCTCATTTCTTCGTCCACTAGTCCTTCCATAACCTTTGATAATATAGGTAGTAGTGCGTCTGGTCTGTAACAGGCTGGGTCCTTTCTATCTCCTCCTTTGAAGATTGGAGAGAGAGTAACTTGTTTCCATTCAGATGGGAATTGGTCCGACTCCAGTGAATGCCTGAACAGGTTGCATAACGGTGAACAGAGAACTTCAGCACACTGTTGCAAGACTATATGGCGGATATTGTCACAATCTGGTGACTTACCTGGGCGTAAGAATTTTAGTTTCCTTAATACTAGGTCAGGAGTGATACGGATGTTCCTCAAGCTGCCAGCTGGCATTGGGTTGGCGTAATACTCTGAACATGTAGGCGCCTAGTTTAATTGATCAGCAAATGTGGTGTTAAAGATCTCGGCCATCTCTAGGTTGATGAGGTCTTCTCCGTTTGGCCCTTTTAGAGAACACAACCCTTGATTAGTAGGTTTTCTTTTGGATATGAACTGAAACAGATGTTTCGGGTTTGCCTCTATTCTAGCGGCTAGCTTCGTCTGGAATTTTCTCCTGTCGCTTCGAACTTTGGTCTTGCATCTGTTTCTCAATGCCAAGTAAGAACTGCGATCGGAATCCTTCAAGGAGACCTTCCACTTTTGTCAGGCTTTCCACTTCGCCTGCAGCATGCGCTCAGTGCCGCGCCTAACCCAGATTCTTCTGTTCTGGCGTTTTTGGTGTGACTGAGGTACGCTGTCTACGACAGCGTTTTGGATGATATCTCTCACTGTCAGCCTCCACCACTCCCGTGGCCATGGGACATGTAGGAGCACCTCTCTCATGCGTGTGTAGTTTGCCCTACTGTAGCAAAGGTAAGGCTCGTTATCGTCCGGTGTCGGCGTTTTGTTTGTGACCATGTCAAACAGGACTGTGCCATGGTCACTACTACCTATTGAAGTGCGGATGTGAACATCATCAACCAGGAGCTGGTCATTCGTTAACAGATAATCTACGTTTGGGGACTTTCCTTCCTTAGTCCACCTAGTGGCACTGCGTACGTGCTCAGTCAGCCCAGAGCTTCTAATGGCTGTACCAAGTTGTCTTTGGAACCAACCAGTTGGAGTTATACTCTGACTACTGAGATTTAAAGATGGGGTATTGAAATCTCCGGCTAAAAGTATTCGATCAAACCCTAGGAGTGGTAGTTGCAGTATTACCTCAATCAGGTAGCCTTAGTAACCGAAGCATGTCGGTAGATCCCTCCAATCAAGTATTTCGTGTCACTTGAGTGTAAACAACACCAACATTATTCTGTCAACTCAGTTAGCTGGGTGTCGTATAGTCGCTCAGCCATTAAGTTGCTATATATATATATATATATATATATATATATATCGCCACTCCCCCTCCAGTTTGGTGTTCCCTATCGCTTCGAAAGAGTGTTATACCTGGCAAGCACACTTCTGCGTCTACGAATTCAGGCGATAGCCATATTTCAGTTAGGATTACGATATTTAGATCCATCTAAGAGCACATCTCATGGACAAAATGCTGGCAGAAAATGTACAAAGAAGCTTCACCCGGCGACTGCTCGGATTCAGCCATAACCTCGACTAAACAGAAAGATGCAAGCATCTTTCCCTAGAACCTCTATGGCGCCATCGTCTGTAAAACAGCCTCGTGCTCCTCTATAAACTAATAAATGGTCTTTCGTTCGTTAAATACCGCCCAAATATGAACCGCGACACTGCTTACAGACTTAGAAACAACGCATGTACACTATTAACGGCAAAACACAAGAAATTATTGCGCTGTAATTTCTTTGTAATACGATACAGTCTACTGTGGAACAGGTTACCAATTACTATCCGTATTTGTGACACAATCACTAAGTTCAAGAAACTAGTCATGCTGTTGCTAGACTCTAAATAGATATACCGACTATTCCCGGAACTCACATCAAGTCTCCAGGCACTCTTTTATGGCCCACCAAATATTTTGATAAACCTCAGAAACGAATTATAGACTATGAACATATTGTGTTCTCATTACCACCCATACATGTATCACGAAATGATAGACAAATCCCCCTGCTCCTACTAACAGTAATAGGTTACGCCTTTAAAGTGTTACACGTGACTTTTCTCTAAACTTAAATTCCGATCATTATTTTCACATCTTCAAAGCAGTTTTAGTTTTTATTCCTAGAAGACAGACAAATTGAAAAGCCTGTAGATGCTGATCAACTACTGTCAATTACAAGGAACTCAAACACCGTGTATCATTGTGAGTACCTTCTTATCTAAGTATTAACAGTTTAACTAATTTTTATTTCCCCAATTCATTGACATCCAAACACCTTGCCTACTTACAACTTATCGCTTTACTCATTAATTTTTAACATTATTTCAACTCTATTTTTCTCTTTCTCCTTGTTCCAGCTACCTGTACTTCCTATTTCCAAACTACGTATTAACTGATTCATCTTACAAATTATACCATTCGTTTACTTAAAATCAGTGTGATATGATACGTGGATATATTATCTGGCAAAGTTGTCTGGATTGCTTGTAATATGGAGCTAGTAGAGAATGTTAATTCCGATAAGGTGTACAAAAAAATTTGAGAGTAGACTAGACACCATTATTTACAATCAACCAATAAACGTAAGAGAGCCTAACATCACAGAAGGAGGGAGGGTGGCGAATCTGACCAGCATTCACGACGGTCGGGTGATAACCTCAATCTACCCATGTCTGTGTGGCAGAACATTTTGTTTGCTTACGGCTCCTTACAATATAGCAGGATGTAAGAAGTCAGTGATATTGATGTTACTTTTCCTTGTTAACCTTGTCTGAAGCTGACATCTGTAACCTTAAGTATAAATTATTATTGTTATTATTAAAATATCGTTCTTACTAGAGAGTGAACCCTTTAAAAATGATGTTTCATAATGGACTTGCCTCATATCCCGCGATACTTCGAGGACTCCAT